AGGATGATGCCCGTATCGTCATTTTTCGTCACTACCTCCATGTTCCGGAAGTAGGTAATTTAGCCGTCTGCTGCTTTCCTTGGATGTGGTATTCGTTTCTCAGACCCCTCCCCGGAATCGAACCCTGATTTCCCGTTGCCCGTTGCAACCATGATATTGATAGAAACAACTATCATAACATGAAACGAAAAAGTGAAAAATAAATATAGTTTAAAAAAACTGAAAAACACGCTTTTAGAGCATATCGAACTAAAAAGTTAAAAATAATTTTTAAAATAAGCTTAAAACAATAATGAACTTTTTGTTCGATCTGCTTTAAAAGCGTGTTTAATAAAATTAAATAAATCTTCACATTGAAAATACCTTATAAGTGAGGTACACTGATTTCCATAAAAATTATAATAATTTTTGCTAACATTCATCACTTAAAAAGTTACTTAGCTCATATACTATTAATAGAAAATTAAAATCATAAATTTCTAATGTTTTTAAATTATTTGTTGTTGTATTAGGTTTGATATGATAATAGGTTTCAAATACGCACTTAATAATTAAATAATTTTACATTGTTATTTATCAATTTCTTGACTTTATTTGTCATATCGACTTCAGCCTATAGTAATCCAAATTTTTTGGTAAAATGTTACTGTATAAATCATTTTTAAAAGAAATATTTCGTAAAAAAAAAACTCAGCATAGTGGGGACGTGACATAGTTGAGTCCAGTATAGATAATATCAATATATATTTTGGTTTCACCATATTTTATGATAGACTTTTACAATTATGATCAATGTTTATTATATGCTCAATTGATTACATTTTTTTAACAACCTATTAATTAGTGTTTTTAGATAAAGCAATTCATTAAAATAAATTAATATTTATAAATAAATGGAATATTTCAGATTTAGTATTTTTTTAACACTAAGAGTTACATACAAATGAAAACTAAGATTTCGATTAAAATTGTTTATTATGATAAAAATAGTGATTTCAACGAATTATTTAACTTTTATCATAAATTTACTGTTAATTATAATTATAAAATCTTCTGACCGGGTAATTTTTTAATACTTTTTATTTGTCAAAATATTGCGATTTAGCATAAGCTAATTACTGTATTTTAATTTGCTACTCTATAATAAAGAGAATAACATACATACATACTCATTTTTATGAAATAATTAACAAACATTACATCTTTGTTAATGTTAAACAGTACGACTATAATACTACATTCTCATTCAAATTGCATTTAATCAATCCTTTGTTAGTTTTAATGGCCATTATGCTGACAGTACCATGTCCAAGTTTCTTCGTTTAAGGGTCATTGCTTAAACTAAAGCATAATCGTCTTAAAATTATTATAATATAAAACTTTTCATAAACATTTTCTGTTTATGAGTCTGAGCACGTGGTAGTGTGTTGTGCAAAGTTTTATCAATAAATCTTTACACGAAACAATTGACTCAGTTTATCAAACTTACATATCTCGATTTTTACTCAAGATAACCTCTTGAAAAGTATAGACGATATACGTCGCTCTAAACGATAAAGAAAACAAAAAGAAATGATATACCCACAAAATTTAATTCTTAAATTAGAAAAATATTAAAAATTAAAAAAATGTAATAATAAATGTAAATTTCAACAAAACTTATGAATAAAAATGTCTAAAAGATTATTTTATTATTGTAATTAGTATTTTTTTTGTATTTGATTATGATAGATAAATTATTCCTATATCTATTAGAGTATCAAATTTTTTTATATGTCTATCCGAGACCGTAATAGGGTAGTTTTAGCGTATCGAGATCATTTAATAAATTTAACCTTTTTTAATGGATACATTCTATATTACTTCGAATATTTATATAAGGTGGTGCGCAATGTTTCATGTTTGTAGGAAAAGATTAACTGCTGTCGCTAAATTTGAAAACCTCAATAATTTTAAAAGGTTCAAAAGACCATGTTAAACAAATTGCATTCTAAATTATTTATTTATACATTTATTTTTTATAAAAAAAACGCCAATAATCGTGGAAAATCGATGACTTCCGTCTCGGTTTCCATTCGTGTACAGTTTATTGTCATAAGTCAGTCAGTCAATTGTTTTTTGTGTTACTCTTTTTCTGTTGCAAGTGCCTTCGCTTGAATGATAAATTGTCCGGTCGTTGTATGCCATAGTTTTTATTATTTGTTGTTGCACACTTGTGTTCAAGTTTTCGTGCCCTTGCACGCCACCAGTGATTGGGCACTGACCATTACTAAACATCTTCATTGCCGTAGTCTGTTCTCGTCTGCCATTACGTACCTGGATTTACACTCTGACTCGTCATACTCAGATGTTCGATACCATTACCACAAGATTTCATACAGTCCACTCATCATCATCAACAGTTTCATCTATTCAGCTGTGTTTATATTATTTTTTAATGTTATTTATCGTTTGTTTTAATTGAGATAAATTATTTTGTTTTATGTCGCTTTTCCGGCCATTAGTATTTAAGGGTTCCCCGTTACCCCTTAAATTTAAGATACTCTCTGATATATGTTATTTAATTATTGTCTACTCTCGTTTACTTATTGGATGTATAGTCATCTCCTAGGTGACCCACTCCCGCATCAATAATAACGTTTTTTTTTAAACAGGCTTAAGGTAAAACGGCATTCTAGTGCGGTGCACAACTAGCCATCCTACGGTCTAGCTGCCTCGTACACAACAACAATATTATTAACAAATTAAAAATGTAAAATAAAATATCAAGAATTTTTCACAAAAATAGCATATTTTTGCATACGGCAGTCATTTTTACCATGAAGACAAGTCCAGAGGTCAAATTCCTTTTTTCATAAATAAGTATATAACATTAGCTTTAATTTAAGACATATATAAAATTGTCAGACTTACCGGAACACTTTCAAAATTTAATTTGAAAAAGTTGTCATTTTAAACCCCCCCTGTGGGCGGGTAAAGGGTTAAATTTATGAAAATAATATACCAAATGATAGGTAAAGACATCAAGCATCTATAAAAAAAAATTATATTGATATGTCTATTTTTGAAAAAGCTACGGCAGTTTTTAGTAAAAAAAATTGAAAACATTTCGAAAATTAGCGATTTTTAAATTTGTAATTTTTTTGGAGGTTTCCCCCATTTACGGGGAACGAGGGAAATTTTTTCAATTTTTGAGGGTAATGTCTTCGACTAGATACAATTTGTGATCTTTTGACGTATCGTTGAAAGAAATTGGTTCAGTGAAACCATAACGTACAACGGCCAAACAATTTACTATTCAAGCGAAGGCGCTTGCAAACAGAAAAAGAGTAACACAAAAAACAATTGACTGACTGACTTATGACAATGAACAATACAAGGATGTAGATCGACACGGAAGTTATCGATTTGCCGTGATGGGAGGGCAAGGGGGTGAGTAAAGCAAGATGCTGGTGATCATCTGTCTCACGAAATAATATAGTTGATGATCTTTGTAACAACTGGTCAACTAAATCCTTCTAACGGCGTTCTATACCATAAAATTGTAGTATTAAATTTTTATTATTCTTTAAAATTGAAGTTTCAGAAAAATACTTGTTTATTATTGTCGTACAAAAAAAAAAAAAGCCTGAACAAATTTTAATAGAAAATCATGTTCAAATAATCAATATTTACCTTTTTATAGTTACTAAATTCGAATTTGCACTGTTTTTGCCATTTTATTAATTTTTAGGGGAGTTCAGGGACATTTCTTTGGTGTATTTATCAAATTTACAAATTGATTATCGTTTTATATAACATTAAGTTCCAAATATTGTACTAATTTTCTACTTTTTTCAATTTTTAAATTGAACCGGAAAGTTGTCTGACTATGACTGAATTTTAGTCATATATAGTCAAATATAGTATTTTCAATGTGGAGATTAAAAAATAGATAATGGATATTATAATTTCTCATTATTAATTACTAATTTTTCGGATTTTAAACGAAAATATACAAAGAATAGAAATATCAATAAATACCATCAAAATAATAAAAAACTAAATATTTACGAAAAAAAAAACATATTTTAACTTAAATATACATTGATTAATTATTCATTTTTATTGTTAGATCCGCTCCTGAAAATAGCCAACACTTTTCGTGCGGCTTTATTCGATAAATGAATCAGATTTGATCTACTTCTATCTTCTAACTCATTATAGTAATTTTAAAACCCTATTTATATTTAATTTTATATATAAATAATAAATTCACGTGTATTGTTAAATGAGTGATGAATATGAAATAGTTTTTATATTTTTAAGTTTCTAATAATATAACACGATAATTGTGTTGGGTCGTCGTTAGCCGTAGTGGAATTATTCAGTCGAAGTCTTAGATTTGCCCTTCAGCTGTTCTGTTTGTTGTTAATTCCCGGATTGAGATACATACGGGAACTTAATTAACAGTTATACACACTCCGGCCCCTTACTGGTTCCTTNGTTAATTCCCGGATTGAGATACATACGGGAACTTAATTAACAGTAATACACACTTCGGCCCCTTACTGGTTCCTTCTGCCATCATGAAATAACGACTATCGGTGTTAAAATCATATTAAATCAGAACAGATCAAAAATAGTTGGAACAGAGTCTAAGGAGCTGATAATGATACAATACTATATGCAAACACCGTGTAACAACATTAAGAAGAGTAGTGTATATAAATGCTACTTATTATCGTCATACATTTCCATATTTACGCAAAAATGCATTTGTAATAAAATGATTCACAAAATTACCAAAGAAACGAGTCAATTATTGAAGCTAAACACTTTATTTATACATATTCTTTATGTTAGATAAATAATAATTTAATATAATAAAAAATTTTTATGTTATACCAACATAAAATATTATAAACAATTCTTGTAAATTAAATTTGACTACTTTAGTGCACCTGAGTACGAAAAGAATCTACAATTCTATACTTAGTTAAATATTATAATACTTGAAATTCAATAGACAATATTTCATAATTTTATTAGTAAAATCAAAATACACAAATACAAGCTTTCAAATATTATTTTTTAAAACTGAAAATTAAATTTTGATTATTATGAATTTTAATGAACTTATAGAAAACATAAGTCATTTTAATCATTTATCTGCTAGTATACTTCTAGATCAAGTAATCTCTTTTTTTTTTCTTGTTCTGTCTCATGATCAAATGTAATGTTGAAGTGTACAGAAAAACACATGAATGACTTAAAAACCTTGAGTTTAGATTTGAATATATTTTCAAAGTACTGTACAAAAATATTAAATCTTAGGAAGTTATCATTCAAACCTTGTATTTGTGAGATTTCATTAAATCTTGTTATTTTTTCATTTATTATTTCGCTTATTTGAACGCATGCCATTAGTTCCTCAGTTTTAGTTATTGATTTCATGTTATATTTTTCATTATTTACATCTATTCGTAATATTTCAAATGACTCGGCGTCAAATTTTGCTCGTATTGCGTTTTCAATATTTGTAATAATTTCAGAATTTATGATATTATAGGTTTTATTTATATCATTTGGTAAATTTACCAATGATTTTTTGATGTTTTCAAATTCCGAAAATCGACATAACATAATTCCAAATTTATTAGTAATATCATGTAAATGATTCCGTATTTCAATATTACACTGTTCGACAATTTTATCATCATTAAACATTAAATACTTTAGATGCTTTCTAATAAAATGTAAAATTACGACTTTCAATATGTTTAAGATTTTTTCATGATAAGTTCTAATTTTTAATATCCATAAATCAAACCAATAATAATTTCTAGCATCATCATATGCATCCCTAATATCTTTGAATATCTTATTGCATATTGTTTCATTTTGATCCCCGAAACCCATTATTATAGTTTTTAAAATATTTATGTTTTCAACAATTTCGCAAAGATAAATTTTTTTAAGAGAAACCCAATTGTCTACTTTTTCGCCATGCATTAAAACGTTATTAGTTATATTTCTTTTTGCCATTACATTCATTACTTTTTTTATCATTGGAATCTTAACTGTTTCATTTAAATTATATAATTGTGTACTTGTAGAATCGTATGTATTATTCTTTCGACAATCGAGAGTTGTAAATGACAATAAAAAAGATATTAGATAATCTATAATGTTCGAAAGATGTGATGTTATAAATAAATTATAGGTCGACTTCTGGTTTTTCAAATAAATTGCAAACATGTACATATGCCATAAAGGGGTTAGAAATGCATTTAGATTTGACTTTAGTATTACAGCTAGCATGTGTTGAATAATTGATTCATTCAACAATAAACCTTGGTATTCATTATATTTTTTAAGTATTTTAAAAGATAAAAAATTTTGAATAAGACTAGTGTATTCTATAAGGTTATACAAANTTTTGAATAAGACTAGTGTATTCTATAAGGTTATACAAATTACTGCAATAAAGGTCGAGGTACATTATATCTGGTCTGGTCTGCAATGAAAAAGATTGTGGTTTATCTGCATGTGTTGAATAATTGATTCATTCAACAATAAACCTTGGTATTCATTATATTTTTTAAGTATTTTAAAAGATAAAAAATGTTGAATAAGACTTGTGTATTCACTAAGGTTATACAAATTACTGCAATAAAGGTCATAGTACATTATATCTGGTCTGGTTTTCAATTTGAAAGATTGTGGTTTATTTTCCTGAATAATTATATCTTTCAATTCATTAAAACCTGTTTCAAGCATTTTAAGGTGATTGTCATAAAAAAATCCAGTATCAAGATTAAATGCTACTTTAAGTTCTTCTGTATCATGAAAAATCTTCGGTTCCGGTTTCGGTTTTTGTTTTGGTTTCGGTTTAAAACAATTACATTTGATAAATTGTATAATACAAAATATCCCAAAGAATATTGTTAGCACGTAATATTTATTAAAAATCATTATTAGTATCTTATTACTTAATAATTGTTACGTATAAAACTTCTTAAGAAGAGTACTTTTTTAAAACTACACTAAAAATTGGAGACGTTTTAATATATAATTTTTGTATTTATGTAAACAATTATTATAATAAACGCTCTATATCAAAAATAGTGTTTAAACAGTTTAAAAGTGATTTATTGTCACAGTATCAATTCAAAAAGAAATATTGTTTAGTATTCATAAAAAGAAAAAAATAATTCAATATAAAATACAGTAAAATTATTTTCCATTGATTTTTTATAAGAATAAACGGAAAATTTTCAGAAAAATCTAAATTTAATAATAATGACCACGCCATAGTATCTAATGTCTTCTAAAAATTAAATATTAATATATAATACGACGTCATTTTATTATGTGTTTTTCAATAAAATTCCTATCGTTGAAATTAAACATTATATCTAATGTCTTCTAAAAATTAAATATTAATATATAATACGACGTCATTTTATTATGAGTTTTTCAATAAAATTCCTATCGTTTAAATTCATAATATACAACATTATTTTAAAACTAAGATAAATGTTCGAATAATACAAATCCTTTTTTAATTATAGTTATACTTTTCCATAATTAATTTCATNTAATACAAATCCTTTTTTAATTATAGTTATACTTTTCCATAATTAATTTCATAAAGTATCAACAACATTTTTGTAATATTAGATGTATGAATATCGAAATGAAAGTTTATAAATATATCAAATAACAAAATAAACTTTAATTACATTATCACCTTTAGAAAAATATTTAATGTGTATAATTAAATAATTGTATGCTATTCATAATAATATATGTAGTTTATTTTATAGATAACGATCTAAATAGGAAATTAACTAATCGATAACAATATTTGGAAAATTAATGACATTTGTACATGTGGGTGGGAGGAAATGTCTTAATTTATTATTGACTGTTTAAAATTTTTGGAAAGAATTATTCTAAAAAATGGCTATGTCGAAAATTAGATAAAATTAAAAAATGAATTTATATATTTTTGTTTATTAGTGATAAATAATAAAAATATATACTTATGGCGGATTCCCACGACTGTTGTACTTGCCAAGTAANACGACAGGTGTACTTGCCAAGTACACCAATAATTGTATACTTGCCAAATCATCCAATTATTAACAAGTGGAGCGTTCTCATAACTGGATACTTGACAAGTGTACAAGTACTGGTATATTTGTCAAGTAATAAATAAGAGCCAAGTATACTATTCCTAAGGCTGGATCAAATGGACAATTATTGTATTGGGGGTGGGACCTGAAAATTATTAAGCAATGTTCATTTGCTTTTTTAGCGCTGCAGTGTTTGAACGTTTTAGTGAGTGATTTAAAATTCTTTTTTTAGTATTGTTAGTTTTGATACCTTTTAGTTTAATATTTTCTTGTTAAGTTAGTTCTTTAACATTTACCTATAATTTTTAGGTTTCATTTATTTAGTTAACCTTAAGTTCATTAAAATGGCTAGTGATAATGAAAAATGACTATTTATGCTTCATACATAATTATGTGTGGAGAGTACTTAAAGTACAAATAATTAATTGAAAAAAGAAAGAAGNATCATTTGCTTTTTTAGCGCTGTAGTGTTTGAACGTTTTAGTGAGTGATTTAAAATTCTTTTTTTAGTATTGTTAGTTTTGATACCTTTTAGTTTAATATTTTCTTGTTAAGTTAGTTCTTTAACATTTACCTATAATTTTTAGGTTTCATTTATTTAGTTAACCTTAAGTTCATTAAAATGGCTAGTGATAATGAAAAATGACTATTTATGCTTCATACATAATTATGTGTGGAGAGTACTTAAAGTACAAATAATTAATTGAAAAAAGAAAGAAGATGGTGGATGACATCGTTATATAAAGGCAGACAAAGGTAAATTTTACGTTAAAAACAAGTAAATTACATTTATTAATCGATTTTAAGTAGACAAATGATTTATTTATATTTCCTACTAAAGTAAATTTTGTTTTTTATGAATAATAAGAATAATTATTCATATAATAATTAATAATAACTAAAATTCTAAAAATTATACATAAAAAAAAAATTAATTATAATTAATTCGTTTGTTGTCGTGCAAAAATGTGGCATGTGAGTCACATATTTTTTTTCAATTTTATTTTTAAGTTGAAAAAACTTTTATATCGATAATAAATAATAAATAACAAACAATAGAATACTTTTCAATAGTTTAATTTCATTTAATCGAAAATTTTTAGTCATTCAAAGAAATTTCAACCTTTAATTATTGATACAAAAAACAAATTTCACTTCTTGACGACAACGACGAATTAATACTAATAGTAATTATAGCTGATGCAATTGCGTGTAGTTACACTCAAAGTATAATAACACTTTCCTGGACTATATAAAAATTATACTTCATTAATTTTGTAATAAAATATAATTTTTTTTAAAGTCCATCAGAATGAGCAAGTTTATAAAATGGTGTAAGTCGTAAAATTAAATTTTTGTAGAGGTATTTCAGCGAAGAAAAAACCAAATATATGTTTTAAACTACTATCAAGTATTTGAAAAAAAATCAACTAAAGTTAACTTTTTTAAAAATATGTATTTTAATAGTAAAGAATTTTTTTTCTTTTTAAAATTTTTTCTGACTTATGATAATGGAAATCCTCGAATAATACATAATGCTCCTTCAATACTTCAATACATTTTTACTATGATTAATATAAGTTTTAATAATGAAACGCATTCATAATATTAATACATTTATCTACTTTTTTTAGTAATTTGACATTTCCAGTAAAGCCTTTTCTTTATTTATTACCAATATTCATTTTTTGCTTGCATTCCTATTACGATTACTTAAAGGTGATACATACTGATATAAACGTAAAGAGTTATTATTTTACTTAATTTATATTAGCTGGATTGCAAAAAAAAAAAATTGGCCGATTCATTTTCATTTAATTATAGCCATAGAAGCTTGAAATAAAACTGTTGTTACACTTATAGTTGAAATATAACTTTATAAAATAGAAAATTCTATTACTATAAAATATTTTTCAGTACTAAACTGTATTAATCTTGTTTTCGTAATCCAACAACTATAGCAATTGAAGCAAATTTGAGGAGGTTCGTTTCCCTAAAAATTAAAGGACAAAAAACACGACAGAGTAGAACTAACAGTGTGTTGCACCTACGCACCATATTATAATACCGTATATAATTTTTTACTTGCAAAAATAAAACAGAATTTTACAAGTATAAACATTTAATAAAATATTAAATTATCCAATAATATTTACTTTATACTTAATATTAATAGTAATATAAATTAATAGCTTATATAATTAATACATTATACAATCAACCTTAACTTAAATTATAATTACAATTATACTATAAAATAGTTTTACCTCTCTATTAAATTTAATTAACTAATTAGGCCAATATGAACCACCGCTATACTGTACAAATATAGGTGGGTGGGGAAGAAAAAATTATGTTATCGATAGCCACCCTCAAATCAAATATTGGCCAAGTACTTGACAAGTACACAAGTGTGCACTAGTGACCTACAAGTGTAAACTTGTCAAGCCATTAATTCCTCTAACTTGTGTCACATTCGCTGACAATCCGCGGGAAACTGACAAGTGTCCAATAATTGTACAAGTACAGTGTTCCGACGGCTTGACAAGTATACATAAGTGACAAATATTTGGCAAATACACCAGTCGTGGGAATTTAAATTTAATAAATAATTTTAATCATATTTTATAATTAAATCCCAAACAAAATTTTACTATTACATTTTTAGTTTAATTTGTTTTATTATATATTATATATTATCGTTTTAGCTCGTTATTGAAATTATAATTTTAACCTAAATGCGTTGTCTGTATTGTGTGTGTTGACGTAAATGTTTTCTAAATCATGTTTTATTTTTTGTCAACAGGAATAAAAATAGTATTGAAAAATGATAAATTTTTCTTAAATTCATACGAATTTCAAGTTTTAATACAGTCATTAGATATTTAAAAATAAAACTGTAACCTAAAATATAAATTACCTCACATACAAATAATTTTTAATCTGTCATATGTATCGACCTTACAATTTGCTCGATATCATAGAAGATAAAAATGTTTGTATATATTTTACTGGTATTGACAGTGGTGGTCATATGGGAAAAGATAGACATAGTTAATTTTGTGTGTATAGAGTTCACGATGACGACAACAGTACAGTTTTTTGATTACACGGTCGGGTATACGTCGCACGCCCATACCCATAGCAAAATATTACAAGATTATTCCTAGTTTCAACAAAAAAAAACAAGAGGGTTATGTTTTGTCACATTACAGAAACCCCCTTAAGATTTAAGTAAAACGACAAACTTCACAACAGAGTTAACGGAAAAAAAAAACAAATTAAAGACATCTATTAAAAGTACCGTGTCGGAAGACCTTCACTGCACCAAAAATAATTATCATCGAGATAAATTAAATTTGCTGAAGATTTATTGTTTTACAAAAGTGGTCAATATTTTAAT